TGCTGCCTTATCTCCTGTTGATCCTATCAGACTGGTTTGGATCAAAGGGGTAAAAGTTGGGAACTCACAAGAACAAAGGAACTCTGGAAGGATTAAAAGAAACCTGTCTCTGAAGAGATGGGGGTAATTATTTGGGGGAACCAAATTGAGACAGGCACTCTCTGGGGTGTTTGAAAAAGTTAGGCCTGTCTAATTTACCATCAAGAAATGATAAACCTTTACGTAAGATAAACATATGTGTAGTCTGTTTGCTGTTTTAAAATACTTTTTTGCTAAATGCTTTGCTCCTTGTTATTGTATTTTGGTTTTAAAAATTCTGTCTGTTTACTGTATACCTCAGGTCACAGGCTCCTGAAGGAAAGAATACAGGTACTTGAACTAAGTTAGACCTGTTGCGTAAGGATGGTTGATCCACAGTATATTGTAGATCAGGGCCTGGCCTAAGAATGGGAGAATTGCAGAATTCCACCCCAGAAGAGGTAAATGCATGAGGCCTGACCCCTGAGGGGGAGCACTCAGAGGGACCAGAAAGGAGACAGATTCAGCTAGCTCTGTAACTCTGACAGTGGCTGCTTCTGAAATCTAATTAATAATGAATCACCTATGCTTAGAATAAGAAATAACTGTATAGTGTCTGTTATCAATTGTTGACTTTATAATGGCTTCTACTCTACTTCCTCTCTCTTAACCTGGGTTTCCTGTTCAGGATCAAAGGTCTTGGTTGAATGGGAAACTTCTCTTTTGTAATGCAAAAGAAGTTATGTATTGGTTGGCCTTCTGTCAAATTTTCCAAGTGCTCCCATTTTGCTGCCTTTGTTTAGATGAGCTGGTTGCACAACTCTTACTGAAGGTATAAGATTAGACAGGTTCTGTGACTGTTCCTCCTCCCTTTTGTGGCACCCGCAAAATGCTGAGTAGGCATGCAAAGGCAATTCCTGCTCAGCAATTCTTCTTACACCACTGAAATTGAGGCTTTGTCTACACTGCCACTTTACAGCGCTGAAACTTTCTTGCTCAGGGGTGTGAAAAAACAGCCCCGATAGCGCTGCAAGTTTCAGCACTGTAAAATGGCAGTGTAGACCAGGAGCGCCGCCAGCTTTTCTGCCGCCCTAAGCGGCGGAAGGTCCCGCCCCGAAATGCCGCTCCCCACAGAGGTGGCGGAAGGTCCTGCCGCCAAAATACCACTGCGGTCGCTGCCCCTCCCAAATTGTAGTGCCCTAGGCGGCCGCCTAGGTTGCCTAATGGGTTGCGCCGGCTCTGGTGTAGACAGTGCACCAGCACTGGGAGCCGCGCTCCCAGCGTGGGTAGCTACTCCCCCCGTGGAGGTGGTTTTTTTACAGCGCTGGGAGAGCTGTCTTTCCCAGCTCTCCCAGCGCTGATGCTGCGACTACACAGCCACCTTAAAGTGCTGCCGTGCTAGTGAAGACATACCCTAACAAACCTATCTGGGGTAGCCTTTCATAGGTCAGTAGCAGTCCAGGTTTGGAGTAGCCCTTCATAGGTCAGTAAGGTCTTGTCTTGCATTATTAATGCTGGCTTGCACTGGGGTTAGCAGATATGGGAGTTCTAGTGTAGACAAGGTTTTGGCTGCTAAGATGTTTATCGGCACTATTGTTCATGGCTAAATAATGCTTTACTGAAAACTGTAATGCAAGTCAAACCCTACCTACACTACTGTTCTCATTTTGGGTAATATTGGTTCACAATTATTGGAAATTTTTCTAAAAATTCCCTACTATATACAAATTTATATTTGTACCTAGGTGTCTAGGTACAAAGTGATGCATGTCACTTATAACTTTTAATGTCGCAAGTTCTAAATTAATCGAAGTACTGTGGAAAAGATCAGTTTTTCAACAGTTCTCTCATATTTCTATTGACTAGTAAAAAGGAAAAACTCTTTAGCTCATACCTGTCATGAGCTTTTTTTGTACAATTATTTGAGAATTAACTGTCCTAGAACAGGTTTTCAAGATTTTCAAACTTTTTTTCTGGGGACCCAGTTGAAGAAAACTGTTGATGCTCACGACCCAACAGAGCTGGGGATGAGGGGTTCAAGGTGTGGGATGGGGCTCTGGGCTGGGGCAGGGAGTTGGGGTGCAGGAGGAGGTCAGGACTCTAGGCTGGTGGTGCAAAGCTCTGGGGTGGGGCCGGGGATGAGGGGTTTGGGGTGCAGGAGGGGCTCCAGGTTTGGGGGGGCTCAGGGCTGGAGCACGGGATTGGGGCACGGGGTTGGAGTGAGGACTTACCTCCGGCGGCTCCAGAGGCAGGCTTCCTGCCTGTCCTGGCACCATGGACCATGCTGCACCCCGGAAGCACCCAGCAGCAGGTTCGGCTCCTAGGCGGAGGCGTGCAAGTGACTCCACATAGGGTGACCAGATGTCCCGATTTTATAGGGACAGTCCCGATATTTGGAGCTTTGACTTATACAGGCGCCAATTCCCCCACCCCCACCCCCGGCTCCTGATTTTTCACACTTGCTGTCTGGTCACCCTAATTCCACGTGGCTTTCACCCACAGGCACCGCCCCCCCCAGCTCCCATTGGCTGGGAACCAGTCAATGGGAGTGTGGAGCCGGTGCTCAGGGCAGGGGCAGCACACGGAGCCCCATGGCCCCCCTGCCTAGAAGCCGGACCCACTGCTGGCCACTTCCGGGGCACAACACGGTGTTGGAACAGGTAGGCACTAGCCTGCCTTCTGCCGACGGGACTTTTAATGGCACGGTCAGCGGTGCTGACCAGAGATGCTAGGGTCCCTGGGTGCTGAGCAAGGCGATCCAGTGCCTTACATGCCATGATCCAGTACTGGGTTGCAACCCGAACTTTGAAAAACACTGTCCTAGAGGATACTGAGTAGCTAAGGAATTGCTGACAATATAGTGCCACCAGGGCCGGCTCTAACTTTTTTGCCACCCCGCCCCCAGGCAAAAAAGAAGAGTGCCGCCCCGCCGTACCCCCCCCCGCCGAGCACCTCGCCGCTGTACCCCCCCAGCACCACGCACCTGAAATCCCCGCCCCCGAGCGCTGCGCAAGCCCCCGGGCTCCCCCCAGTGCCCCGCTGCCCAAAGCCCCGCCCCCGTCCAAGGGCCATGCCACACCAGCCCCCGCCCCCCTCCAAGCGCCGCGCCAACCCCCGACCCCCCTCCCGAGCGCCACGCCAGACTCCGCCCCCCCATCCGAGCGCTGCGCCAACCGAAGCCCCACCCCCCCGAGTGCCGCACCGCGGAAACAAAAAAACCCTCCAGCGCTGCCCCTACGAACCAAATAAATAAATAAATAAAAACCCGAGCGCCGCCCCGCTCCAAGCACATGCTTGGTGGGCTGGTGCCTGGAGCCGGCCCTGAGCGCCACCATACATCGTTTGGATTTTATGGTTAAAGAGTTTCCCATTCTCCCATGTTAGCCCTCTAAAAGCTTATTTCTGATTCAGTGATTTTGCAAGGGGATTAATACACGTCCTGGCCTTTAGCTGCCACATACAGATCCCTGTCCATTAACATAAAGTCTTTCTACCTTAGTTATGTTGCTCACAGAGTTTAATATCGACAAATGTTACTTCCACACTCTCTGTGCCTACCCAGTCTCATACCCACTGTCCCGACTCTCATGCTGCACTTCAAAATCATTTCAGGGCTGGCACAATAGCATTACGTTGTATTGAGACAAAATAAACACCACAGCACCAGGATGGGTCTTGGATTCTTACACTGATGCACCCCTTTGCAGGTGGTAGGGTGACCAGATGAGAAGAAAAAAGAACAGGAGTACTTATGGCACCTTAGAGACTAACACATTTATTTGATCATAAGCTCTCGTGGGCTACAGCCCACTTCATCGGATGCATACAGTGGAAAATACAGTAGATATATATATACACAGAGAACATGAAACAATGGGAGGAAAATATTGGGACATATGGGGGTGGGGGTCGCCGGCACAGCAAAAAGCAAAAATGGAGTGCTGCGAAATATCGGGACAAAATGCGTCCCAACCAAACATCGGTCGGGATGTGGAACAAACGCCTAAATATATCGGGACAGT